TTATTAGAGCAGTCCCAGCGCTTCCTCCTTCCTTTTAGAAACAGGGCTCACATACAGACCTAGCTTGTCCTCAAAGCAAATATTTTGAGCCTAGATGTGACCATTTTGTGATAACTTAGATAAAAGCATCCTGACAAATTCAGATGTTCTGGGTTCCTTGTGCACTTCAACTACTGACATGAACTAGACAGTCTGTTGGTTCTGAAGAGAGAAAGGGTTCCCCTTGCTACGCTGCCAAGCAAACCAGTAAAGGAACCTCTTCACACTCTACTCAAATATACATTTATATATTTTAATAAAAAGAGGCCTGTCAGCTGCACACATTTTTTGAAAACTGAATTCAGGGTGATAGTAACTATTCACCTTTGCATAGGGGCAAAGGTACCATGGGAACTTCATGTAAGTCCTCTGCACGTGGGCAGAACCTCGCTCTAAAAGATGCAACAGGATGGAACTGGTAAAATATCCCAATAAGATCAATTAAAAGAAGATTTTTCATGGCAGAATTGGATCTCCAAATGTGGGTAGCTGGTGAGTCATAAATGGCAAGAACATAAAAAGAGAGGAAATCTCAGGGGTGAAGACTTTTACAAAGATAACCATACAGAGAATAAGGCAAATCACAACCTAACACTTCGTTGCAATCCTATAATGCAACCAACACTCTCATATTGTTAGAAAGTAACACACAAACTCTCTGAGGATAATACAGACTATTCACTGAAAACCACCAAGCATCATGCTGAAAGCCAATGGGCTGTTGCCATCAAAAACTAAGGGGGACTTTGGGCTGTCAGTTGCACCATGGAAGGGATGGATTTTTTTTCACAGACATTTTACACGGTCATTTACACCCAGAAAAACTGAGCATGACACACTACTATTTCAATCTTACAGTGTTTTTCATCCATTGTACAAAGGCTTAAATGATGGCTCATGTCATAGGACAAATGAGAGGAATCAGCCCTTTAATAAAAGCCACATTTAGAAAATGTGTTCCTTCTTGCCCTGAAATTAGTGGCTCTTTCTATTCACTCAAGTGCTTGTACTGCTTTGGAAGACTTAGTTTGTTAAGTCTTTGTCTGAGGTCTGAGAAAGGCTGCAGCATTTTTCTGATGTACCAGAAGTGAGGGAGGGGGTTTTTGCATTCTGGTCTTCTGATACAGATTTTCTCAGATCCAGTATCTGCCGTCATTTATACAGCTCTGCTGCCATGAATGGCATTCTGCAGGCTAGTAAGAAGTCAAGAACCATGCTCTGAGGAGTTCATCATCTAAAAATTGGCATGTAATTTAATGAGTAAGGACAAAAGAAAACAAGATAAATAGAAAATTGCTCCTGGGAGTGTTCCACTGCTTATTTTTAATCACAAAGAATGCAACTCATTCAGGCTGCTTCTGTTTCAAATTTCTTTCTTTTTTGAATTATTAGACAGGCAAGAGAGAAAGAGGTCAGACACAGCGACCAAAAGTTCCCCTAGGAAGGATGAAATAGAAGCTACAAAGGGAATAAAATATTTCAGAACCAAACCCTCTTATTCTCCTGACCTACCTCTCTTTTGTGTTGCCAAAGAAGAGCAAACCAGGGGATTTCAAGGGGAATTTTTTTTTTTTTTATTTCTTGAAAGTTGGAATATCTTCAAGGTGATGCAAAACCTACCCACCCTTTGCTCCCACCTCTCCTGGGAGATGCAGCATAAAGCTGGGTTGCAGGCTGTGCACAGAAAGGTGCTACTGTGAGCAGCACTGGCACATGCTCAGTATCTCTGAGCAGCTCTAGGACCAGCCACAAAGGCTCTAACATGGGTTGGTTCTTGTAACCACCTAGAACCAGGGGAACTGACACATAGTTCCCGGCATGTCATCCTTTCCATCTCACTTGATATTTTTTTCCCTCCTTCTCCTGCATCATAACCCAGCCTACACTTAGCAAACACATTGACACTCTGAAGTTTAAATAGACTTTAATTTGTCTCTGCTTCTTTGCACTTGATGCTCTCCCCACAGAAAAAGACATGAATTTCACTGGCAATTATATTCTGAATAACTCAATTAGTCCTGAAATACAGACCACTGAGCATTGTATATTTTCTCTATCTCATTTATAATGCTTATAGATGTCTTTAAAATCCCTTTTTTCTCTAGCAGTTCTCTGTTGATCATTAGCTATAAATAGATTATGTTGATGCATATAAAAGCCTGCTTATTTTTTAAATTACAGCTATAATTTTATTTTAAAGAAAAAGAGCACAAAGGCATATCTGTTAGAGATATGCAAGAAAATGCTTAAATTACCAGTGTGTTTCTCCTCACCTACCCTGATTCCAAATGCAAGAATAGTACTGTGCTCAGTTTTGGGTGTCACAGGATAAAGAAGGACATGACGGTGCTGTAGCGGGTACAGAGAAGGGCAGTGAAGTGGTGAAGGGTCTTGACAATAAGTCTTATGAGGAGTGGCTGAGGGAGCAGGGACTATTAAGTCTGGAGAGTAGAAGGCTGAGGGGAGACCATATTGCTCTCTACAACTAACTGAAAGGAGGCTGTAGAGAGGCAAGTGTCAGTCTCATCTCCCAGGTAACAAGTGACAGGACAAAAGGAAATGGTCCCAAGTTGCGCCAGGGGAGGTTTAGGCTGGATATTAGGAAAAATTTCTTCACAGAAAGGGCTGTCAAGCACTGGAACAGGCTTCCCAGGGAAGTGGTGGAGTCACCATCCCTAGATGTATTTAAAAGTTGTGTAGATATAGTTCTTAGGCACATGGTTTAGCAGTGGACTTGGTAAAGTTAGGTTAATGGTTGGACTTGATGACCTTGAAGGTCTTTTCCAACCTAAATGATTCTATAATTCTACTACAGGGAACACAGCTGAATTATAGGCCAACAGATTTACCCACCTGGAAGCCAAAAAAACCCCAACAACCAAATAAAATAACAAAAAACCCATACAGAACAAATGCCCTATTGCAGTATATTTTCAAGATTCATATGGAATTAAATAGTAACAGGAATATTTGAAATTACTTTTTAAAAGTCTGCCACGTGTTCCACAAAAGGGACATGAACTAAACTTAATGTCTTAGGGAATTTCTAGGGAATTAAGTTTTTACTGCATATTTCTTAATAAAAAATGGTGGCAAGTGGTATCAATTATTTCAGTATTGAAATATAAAGCTGGGAATAAAGAAGACTTTTATTTTCCTGGACTGGATATACTGTTCTATTGTATAAATAATTTGCCCATTTGATATGAATATTTTTCCTTTCTGCATAGTTACATTCCTTTGATAGAGAAGGCAGTGGAGGATGTAAATTGCTCATCTTCACTTTGGTATCAAAAAAAGTTAAATCTTCTTTCTAAGGGCATCCATTCAGCTTGGTAAAACTGACATGAACGTGAATCAATAACATGCTGGAACTCAAGGTGCTAAAGGCACTCAAGTTCACAACAAAACTATATAAAATAAATGAAGATTCACTTGTGAAATGGAGAAAATTAGTAATGCAACTCAAAGAGTTTTCATTTAGCAGATGTAGCTTTCACCATACATTGTGAAGCTCAGTTTGTTAGACTTAAACCAAAAAGAGCTAATGAATGGTGAATAAAAATCTGGTGTTCAGTTTTTGCTTTCTTTGCCATGTCCTAAAGGTGGTCTCTCATTTTGAACATGAAGTGTTATCAACTGATTGTATATTGTCACCAGTTGGCCTGAAGCCTGATGAAGAGATCACATGGGTTCTCACTAATGAAGATAGAAGAGTTTGGTCGTGATCAGATCCCAGTCTCTGTGAACTGACACAAATTGCTCAGCAGTGACCTCCTGGGCAGTGAATTGCAGAATTGGAAAGAGCACGTAAGAGGATGAAGGTGGAGCATGTACATGTGTGCAATGAAAACACATGAGCTCCCCAGATCTCATTTGGTGTAGAGAAAAAGGCTGATGCATCTCCACTCTTATCAGACTTGATGTTGATGACTCTCATAAACCTGTTTTTCCCGATGGAGCAGAGGGAGGAGAGACTTTCCTGTTCCTGTATCTGTTATGTTTCCTCCAACCTCATTTTCAGAGTGGCAATTATAATGTCTCCTATTGCTATTTTTTAAATCACAAAATCTGAAAACAATCTAGTTAAGGACACAGGCAAAAAATCCCCAAGAAAGGACTGGGGACAGGAGACATGGGCTAGATTTTCTTTGATAATGACCTTCTAAAGCTCATTTCTTGGTATAAAAATTCCATATCAAAAAAAAGAAGATGCCACTTTTGCTTTACTTGTTAGAAAAAGAGTGTTTGGAATATGCAAAACCTTAATATTGGATTTGCACCAGGAAATGAAGCCAGAGTATCTGGCTTCATGAAATACATGCTCTGAAAAATGGGCAAATCCAAGATGGTAGTGGCCGAAGGACAGAACACTGGAGATTTCAGGATTGTTTCAGGATTAAAGACTCCATGAAAAACAATGAATCTCTGGCAAGTGTTTTTTGTGTTGTGTTTTTTTTTTTTTTTAAGCCAGCTCTGATAACTTTACAGAATACATTTCTAGTTTTGTCTATTTTGCAAACAAGTACAGGGCAAGTTTTGGGCAACTCCATTCTATTGAGTTGCATTCTTCAAACAGAGCTGCTACTATTCAAATATCCGTAGTGCCAAGTTTGCAATTCTGAAGATGGCCTTGTGAAGCAATGATATGCTAATTAAATTATACTGTCTGTATGTCTATAATCTGTCCTGTGTCCAACACTGGGAGAAGCAGGTGCATCTCCTCAAAGACCTTCCATAAAATGTTCTTTCCCTGCATTTTTTGACACAATTACTTTGCAGTAAATGTATATATTTGGAAATTTTATAAATAAATTCATGATAAAATAATCCTGATAAAGATGTTAGAAGCTACCACATAGGCTTCAATAAACTAATCAGTAAAGAATAACTCTTTCTTTATTTCCAAACATTAGTACCACGGTTTCTAAAGTAATTTGCACACTTGTTCTTTCTCTTACCAACTGTTGCCCTTTTGGACCCCAACCAGCATATTGAAGCTTTGCATTGCTGACCTCAGGGGGATACAAATTCTGGGGATCTCTGCAAAAAAAGAGAAAAATAAGATTTCAGTTTCAGAAATATCCTTATTTAAGCTGGTGCAGACTTTCTTTGGAAATCTACCATGACCTCGTAAGGCACCTTTCAGCTGGAATGATCTAATATTTAGTGTCAGATTTAAGTAGATTTCTTTTTTTCCTAAGGTAAGCACCACTAGCAAGCATTGGTAATATCAAGTATTTAACTGACAATTTCTATTTCTTATTAATACGAAGTTAAACACATTCATTCCATTGATGACTTGCCTAAGCATTAAGAATTAGTTAAGGGGTAGCAAACAAAGTAATTGTATTTATCAACACTGATGATGTCCACAAAGGATTAGAATAATTATATTTTTTTATTATACTGTCACAAAACCCCCATAGTTTTATCTTTTTCACCCTATGGCTTTTCTGCCTAATATTTTTACTTTAAACATTACAGCAGAAAAGTTCAGCAACTGATAGGCAGCCTGGCTTTGAAGGGAAAAGCTCCCATTATTACCAAGTATCTATTTATTTTAATAAATAAATCAAAATGCTTCTCTTGTTCATTCATCCATTACCTTCATTTTGTAGCAGAACATCAGTGAGACATAGCAAATGCAATATAGAAAAAGGAGGATTTCTTGGTAAATGTCAGAGCAGCATAATGTAACTTTATAGCAGCACAGACAACATTGCCTTGACTGTGTTTATACTCAGCACAAATAATTACATTACATATTCTGAAGTTGTTGCTACAACTGTGTATAGTAATATTCTACAAATAAGAACACTAATAAAGCCTGTATACAGTATATCTCATTAGCTGACCTCAAATGGTTTTAAAAAGTAAGAGTATTATCATCCCTGGCCTACAGATAGGAATAAGAAGGCAATTTGAGGTCAGCATCACCCAAAAACTCGTGCACTTCACTTCTTCTGTGAAGACAGGCTGAGAAAGCTGGGATTGCTCTGCCTGGAGAGAAGAAGGCTCCAGGGAGACCTTATAGTGACCTTTCAGTACATGAAGAGGACCTACAGGAAAGCTGGGGAGGGACTGTTTACAAGCATGTGTAGCTATAGGATGAGGGGCAGAGGTCTTAAACTAGAGCAGGGTAGATTTACATGAGACGTTAGGAAGAAGTGCTTTACAAAGAGGGTGGTGAAGCACTGGAACAGGTTGCTCAGAGAGGTGGTGGAGGCCCCATCCCTGGAAACATTCAAGGTCAGACTCGACCAGGCTCGGAGCAATTAAAATTCTATTGATCTATTCTATCTGATCTATTAAAAAATGTCCCTGTACACTGTGGAAGAGGCTGGACTAGATGTTCTTTCAAGGCCCCTTCCAAGCTCAGACACTGTATGATTCTATTACAACCAGAGAAAAGAGCCACAGCCTGCCTGGTCTTTAAACAAAAGGCCTGCTCTTGTACAGAGTTTCTGTCTTTATTAAAGGCTATGTTTTCCAGACCATATTTTCAAAACAGAACAAATCTGAATTCAATAATTAGACACTAACTGAATTATCTTTATTGTCTGTTTTGTGACCTGGTGTTGTACCATAGTTACACTCTGGTTCTATCCTCTCAGGCCAGAATATCCTTGGCTGCACAATCCCACTACACTGGGGCTGCTGCAGCATCTCCAAACACAGCAGCAAGAGGAATTTAGCAAGAGGAACAAGTTTAGAATTTGATTTTGTGCAGACTTTCCAATGTGAAAAAAACTAACTTTTCCTGTGAGCTCCTGTTCAAAGGCCACCTAAAATCAAGGCAGAGCCAAGATGAGGACAGTGATGCCAAAGGTTTCCCCCTTCCATAACTCCTGCAGTTGTAACAGCAACTTCAGCTCTCCTGCTAGGAGGCTACAAAACATAATCCATCATCAGTGATTATAAACCATAACCCATAATGTCTGCAGGACCTCTGGGAAGAGGTCTGTGGAGGAGATTACAATTAAAATGCTAAAGATTAAATTTTGATGCAGAAAGGATCCATTAGAAACATGGAGGGGCAAGAAGGGATTGTTGAGCACTGACCCTTAAGTCTGAAGGGTGCCCAGATACCTTTTGTCTCTATTGACAAAGTGTCACCCACAACTCCTGCTGGTGGAGTAAAATGATGTTTTTTTCTTCTCATGGTTTTTAACCAGAAGGTGTCTTTTTGGGTAAAGTGATTTTTGTAAGGTGTGAATAAGAGAACACATAAAGTTCATACTGAACTCCTACAAATAGAATAGAATCATAGAATCATAGAATTATCATGGTTGGAAAGGACCTTGAAGATCACCAAGTCCAACCATAATCTAAATCCCCCTAACATAACCTAATCTACACATTCAGAGTTTAAATCATGTCCCTACTCACTATACCTATAATTCTTTTAAACAATTCCAGGGATGGTGACTCCACCACCTCCTTAGGCAGCCTGTTCCAGTGTCCAATTAATCTTTTGGTAAATAATTATTTTCTAATATCCAGTCAAAAACTCCCCTGGTGCAACTTCAAGCCATTTCCTCTTATCCTGTCATTATTCACTTGAGAGAAGAGGCCAACTCCCACCTCCCTACAACCTCCTTTCAGGTAGTTGTAGAGACCAAAACAGCAGTAACAAAATTCTCATTCCAGTAAGAATAGCCCTACAGCTTCTTCAGGATCTTTTCATGCTTTTATGCATTAGCTACTTGAGTTTCAAGTCAGCTATTCCTCTTAAGACTCAGTCTCTTTGGTTGGCTATCTTGATTATCTGAACAGAGAGTAACCTCTGAGTGGAGGAGGAGGAGAGAAAAAGACTAAACCAAATCCTTTCATGGGAGAAAAAAAATGTGCTTCACTGTTTGTCAAACCAGCTATCTAGTTCTATTTTTTACTCATGGTGAGAAGAGGAGCAAGATATTGCAAATAGAAGGGGAAATATCACCCCTATATAAACAGATTATATAAATTGTACAAATCCAACCCTGTTAAGCTTCAGATAATGCAGGTGGAGTTAAGGGACAGACACAGCAATTAGAGCCAATAACTCAGACCAGAGCTCAAACAACTCCTGTCAGTTCTGCTCACTGCATCATCTTTTAGAAGAGGAAAGCTCTAAGCAGTGAGAATGCTGCATAACCCAACTTTGGTAGGTGATAAAGTAGGAGGAAAAACACTATGTTCCATCTACCAGCACAAATCTCTGCTGCAGACAAAAAAAAAAAAAAAAAAGAAGCAAAGTAATTTTCTCTTTCTCTGTTATGGCTGTGGGAAAATATAATTGCATTTCTTGGATTGCTTCTCAAGTTGTTCAGAATGGCTGGGAAAAGTCTTTTTGTAGCAAATCTTGTTTGTTTGCCCTGAAACCTTCTGAAAAATACGTGGCTAGAAAGGCTGACTGGTGGATTTGCATATTGTGTGGAGGTGCCTGATTTACAAACTTAGTTACTACAAACTGCCTGTGTACTGAGCAGGTGACAATATGCACATCTGGGTTGAGATGCAGACCACTGAAGGTAGGAAGCAGCCAGGCATCCATCCTCATCCTGTGAGCTGTTTTTTTTTTTCTACCACAGGCTATGAAAGAAGCCTGAGATTGTAGTTTCCCCCCAACCCAAACACACCTGAGAGATGGACATTTTCTTCTTGACAGATATTGGCTTGTTTCTCACCTCTTGTGAAGAGAATCCTCTTCCCCAGAGTATCAACATTCCCTCCCTCACCTGCAGAAAACTTCTACATCACGTGCAAGGGGATTGAGAGGACATCCCTCCTTGCCAAGCCTGATCTGGCAGGCTTCAGAGAAGCTGAGGGAATGATCTGTGGATGGGCTGAATTAGCAGTGGCCAGGGAATACCAGGCTGTCTGCAGGAGGGTGGCATAGAAATGGATTTCACCTAAGTGTGAATCCTACTGGAAAAGACCAGATTCCCACATGGTTACCTGGGCTACCCTGGGCACATGATCTGCAGTGGAATAACCATGGACTACCTCCTATAGAAAGAGGAGGAAGAGTATCTACACAGCTGCTCCAGGTGGGATGGCCACAACCCTCTCCCACTTTCCCCAGGGAAGCTCCTAGTGATCAAACTGAAAACCCATCTGGAGAGCAGCTATCAAACACATTGCCAATCATCTCATACTATTCTGGACCTTTAGTTCCTCTTGGTAAGAATCCCCTAAGGGAGTAAGAGCAATGCACACCTATATCCCAGGAGCACTTGTCCATTATCCAAGTGCTTCCATAAATGGGATCTCACGCTGTTCAGCTCTTTCTGAGAGGTATGTTATTGCTGATAAGATATAGTCCTCCATAGCTACACCCTTGCCTCTCCTCCAAAACTGCCTGCTTGAAATTCTGTATTTTTGCTCAACTCAATCAATATTCTGGGTCATCTCAGCCTCTCCAAAGAGCCACTGCTCCTCACAGATTCTCAGAATTAGGCCTTGGTTGGATCTGAGCCTTCCCCATGTGAGCTCATTTGTGCAGGATGCTAGCTTGGAAATGGGCTATTCCAGGCAGTCCCTATTATTGGTCTGCACCAAGGACTAGGTTCATTGCATCCTCACACCCTTTCCATGACTAAGGAAAAAAAAACACCTTAATCTTAATTTCCAGCCTAAGCAATGGAAAGGCTTTGCTAAAGCATTTCTGTTTTTTCTTTCACCTCTTAAAATGATTGATTTTAAAGCTCAGGAAAGAAGGGAATAATAATGTTTTAGGCCAGACAGAAGATGGAGCAGGTGCTGTATAAATTCTTTCACATTAAGATGACATTGTCTGGACCTGAGATTGTTAAATTGTGCCAGACACAGGCATGATTTCAGCACATTGTTCAAAAAATATTACTGATATGGTAAATTGTGAAATTTGCTCATTTAGATGATGCTTCCTGCCAAAAAGTCTCCCCTCAATATTTCCAAATAAGGAGAATTCCTGAGTGCAATTAGTGTGCTGTTGGCTAAATCATTTTTGCTTGTAACTCAGATCAGAACATCTATGTAGAATAAAACAAATTAATTAAATGTAGCAAGTTGCCTGG